CACAGCTTTAATCCTGTGCAGCTTTATGGCAGTTGGTAACAGATTGGTTGCTTGTGCGTTTCTAGGGAGAAAATCGCGCTGCTGGTATAAAATAATAACTTACTTTATTCCAACAGCATCCTCTTTGGCATATCCAGCAGTTCTTTTGTAAAGGAAATGTTACTCATAGACAGAAGGTGCAGAGATTGCTTTGCATCAAAGATAATAGTATAATTACACAGATTTTTTTCATTTAAATGAAATAAAATGTAGTGTGCCTACCACAAACCCAGATAGAGTGAAATKATGTTTACAAGAAAACTGGGATGAAAAACGTCTTTGTTGCATTGACTTCTACTTAACTGCAGTTTGATTATAATGAAAATCCCACYTTATTAAAGACAGGCAGAGTTTTGGGGGGTTGGCATAACTGGTAAAAGATTCTACTCAAGGGAAAAAAAAAATAAAGTGATCCCATGGCAGGCGTGTGATATTTAAGGAGCGCTTGGGCTGGCAAAAGCCCCGGTGTTACTGAGGCAGAGTGGAGCAGAAAATCAGTGTCGGGTTCCAAACCACCCTGCAGGTCCTGGGGAATGAAGAGGCGTCTGTGAGAGAGGAAAACTCACTCATCCCTCAGCACTGGGGTTCCAGTGCACAGGAGAGAAACCCCCAGCACTCTCAAATCCTTTTATCTATTTTCCTTCTTATCCTAAAGCCTGAAGTGAGTCTGTTGGATTGGTTATTGCTGTGAACAAGCCAAATTAGTGCTAAACCTTAGAGTGAAARAAAGAATGTACCACTGTGAGTTTCCTCAGGTTTTTAAAGACATCTTGAACATGCCTGCAGTCTGCAATCCTCCTTTGCTGGAGACAGAGTTCCCTATTTAGAAAAGCTTTGACTGCCAAGAACTTCCCTTGGTTTTCTCAAGGATCAGTTGACAGTTCCCCTCAGTCTGAGAAACACGTATTCAACCGACAGAAATACAGTTATCTTTATTATGGTATGAACATTTCTGCTTCACTGCTGTCCYGCTGACTTTGCCTTTATTCCACCTGCAAAATCCCATCTCAGAGAGCACCTTTGCTGCTGCTCAGAGGGAACTGGAGACAGCAAAGTGAGCTCGGCATCCTTGAGGTGAGCAGAGCAAACTGCTTGAACCCTGAGAAAACCSTGTTCTGGTGATGCTCAGCAGATGCAGAGACACTGAGTGAGGAGATGGAGATGGAGTGTGTGGGGATGGCTGGGAGAGCAGGGAGGAGGAGAGCAGAACAAACCTCTTAAACCCTGAAAAAAACCCCATCCTGATGATGCTCAGCAGATCCAGAGGCACTGAGTGAGGAGATGGAGATGGAGTGTGTGGGGATGGCTGGGAGAGCAGGGATGGAGGAGGAGGAGAGGGACAGGTCTCTGCTGTCACCATCCACTCCTGGAGGACTGAACTGCACGTCCAGGATGCCCAYGTGTGCAGAGTCTGGAGATTTGTGAGATAAAGATAACAGATGGCAACAGGGAGAAAAAGTTACTGTGGTCAGGGAAGCCTGAATGGTGTCAGTGCGAAAGATGTGTTACTGATGACAACAGAAAAAACAAGTTTGTTCTCTAACAAATGGAAATTTTAGCACAAAATGGAGATCTTCTAGGAAGCCGAGCAGATCCACTGACTGGATTATGCTGTTTTGGGGCTGTACTCTCTCGATTTGCAATGTTGGTAGATCAAGCCATGAAAAGTTTGTCTGGCATAAAGTAGTTGGAAAACTTCCTGGTAGACTGGAACTTCCTTTTAGTGAGATGAATCTGTTCAAATCCAGATGGTTCAAAGAAAACTGTCGCTGAAATTCATATTCATAAGGAAAGAGCAAAAACTGCTAATGGAGTTGTTGTGTTATGTTTTGATGCATCTGGAATCATCTCTGAAATAAAACTAGTAAGTGGAATCCAACAGAAAGAAGAGACCTCGTTGACAGATAGGAAACAGATTAACTTTGTGCCATACCTCAGGGTCTTGCAGAAGCACAAGAGAACAGGCAGTTTTAATGATATYAAACAATACAACTACTGTGCCATATTTAAATCTCCCAGAGTGCTGTGCAGCTCAGCTGTTAAAATGCAGGCAGGAAGAATTTCCCTCAGGGCCAGAAGAATGCAGTATTTGTACTGAAGTGTCTGCTCAAGCAGGGGGTGGAAAGYCAGACTCAGCCTTCCTGCAGAATTAACACACCTGAGGCGACACAGACGAGTGAGAGGTTCCTTTCCYGTTGGACAGAGATGTTCATAAAGGGCTGCATTTATTTGTTTGGGGTTATGCAAACCCCGATCCGTTCAATGCTCTGATTTTGAACAGCCCTGGCTGATGATCTGCAGGACTCGCAGCCCCATTTGTTCCCTGGTGGCTTGGGCAGTGTTTGCATTTGGGTGAGAGTCACTGCTGATGGGAGAGGGGAGAGGACAGACACTGAGATTTGATAGCAGTGCTGGAATATGGGGAGTGTTGAACCCAGAGCTTGGGCAGTGTTTGCATTGGGGTGAGAGTTCCTTCTGATGGGAGAGGGGAGAAACTGAGACTGTGATAGCACTGCTGGAATATGGGGAGTGCTGAACCCAGAGCTTGGGCAGCGTTTGCATCTGGGTGAGAGTTATTGCTGATGGGAGAGGGGAGAAACTGAGACTGTGATAGCACTGCTGGAATATGGGGAGTGCTGAACCCAGATCTCACTCCCAGCTCTCCCAGCCTGGGCAATAACCAGACTGGTGTCAGCTCAGGGGAACAGAGGAAATGGGGCTCTGGATCCTCTGGGAGCTCATAGGCACAGGGTTTGCATGTGGCTGCCATGGGAGCATTTTGTGACACACACCATGGCTGGTCCTGATCACAGAGGGGACAGTGGCAGTGCCAGAGCTGCTGGAGCTCAGCAAGGTGAAAATCCACCAGTGAGTCCAAATCCACCCGGTGTGCTATCAGATCCCACCCTGTGTGCTGTGCAATCCCCCCAGTGTGCTGTGCAGAATACACCCGGTGTCTGTGGAGCTGCCCATKAGGAGCCCCTCACCAAGGCCATCACAGCCCTTTTTTTTTGTCCCCAAATTACCAGCAATGCCTGGCTCCTCAGCACATTGACTCTGAGGTGCAGGGATTCCATCTGACCCTTCAGTGGTGTCAGAAACAAAGCATGGAATAGGTGCTTGTGCCTTAAACACGACCTCTTTATTTTTTTTTTTTTCCTTTCATCTGAAGCAATTCAGTTTCTTCATGTTGCACATTCTGTTCATATTTGAGCAGCTGAAAATGTTCATGCTACTTTTTTTTTTTCTTTGATAAAGGCATCCATTTCTGCAACTATGTATAGCAAACCATTATTATAGGGTTTAAAAAACTCTCCTAAAGTACAGGGCAGATCATTTAAGCTGCTGTTTTTCTGTTAGTGCAGGATATAACTACAGATGCTCCAGAGCATGCCCTCACCACACAGAAATATTTGACCATAGTTTAGAGAGAGCCCAGGAATTCAACATGGGGACACCTCAAAGCTTCCACAGTTCTGTGCATATTTGGCCTGAATGGAGAAGCTCTTGCCAGAATTATCAGTCAGAAAATGGGGACAGTGGACACTGTGCCAGGGATGGCAGTGCCACTGTGACCATTGGGGACACTGGACACTGTGCCAGGGATGGCAGTGACTGCTCAGCTCTGCTGAACCTGCCTTGAGTGACTGCCCTGGGGAGAGTCCAAAACACAGACCAAGAGCACACAAACACAGAAATGGTGCTGGGTGCACTCACAGCCAGGGCTGCCCTTCCCCTCTGACACTGCCAGGATTTACAGCTGATGCCATTGCTGGGCTGGCACTGCTTCCACAGGACACAAAACACAGTGTTCACACRAGAAAGGCAAATTGGAGAGGAGATGAGTGCTGCAGCAGTAGTGAGGTGAGGGAATGGAAATGCTGCAGTGCTGGGTGTGCGTTTGAAGGGCTGCAGTCACATTTGCTTACACTTACTGCATTGCCAGCATTACTTTGGTCTTGTTTCTTACTCAGTTACTTTTGAAGGGTCTGTGGCTCCAAGGACTGTTGGCCGGACTTTGTTTCCTCCTTTGAATTGGGAACATTGTTATTCTTGCTTTTGAGTTTTTATTTCTGGGACAAGAGGTGAAGAATATTTAAATACATTGAAAGTGCTGGCACCTGCSTGGTGGGAATTGCCAAAGAGCTGAACCTGTGTGATGCTGTTGGAGCCTCTCTGTGTTCATGTGTTTAACTTTCACACCAGATGAAGTCATTCTGTTGGGGTTTGATTAATGATTAATCAAATAAAAGAGAAGCAGTTGTGATAAACAGCTCATGAGGGGATGAGGGAGGGGGAGGATCCTCAGTTTGTGCMTCCTGAGCTGGACTGTGTTACTGAACAGGATCTGCTGGGGAGTCACTGACGTGTCAAAATGTGRCATAGGAGGGCATTTTGCAGGGTTTTTTCCAAGCAAAGCTGATGCTGAATTTGTGCTTCATCCCAACAAATACCTGAGTTCTGGAACCTTCCCTGGAGGGGTTGGGTGGGCAGCAGGGAATGCAGCAAAAYACTCTTGGAGCAATGAAATCAATGTGTAGCACCCTTGGGTACTGTTACATGTGAAATTCTAAGAGCAGAATTACATATTTTTGCATTTTTCCTAGAGCTTYAATGCTTCTTTGGATTTTAAAAGAAGGAATTTTTAAACACTTTCATGTTTTGCAGAATAGCTCGAATGGTACAGAGTATATAGAAAAATAACATTTTGTCTCCCAGATTTTCATCACTAACATTTAAAATAACAATAAGAGACAACTTGAAGACTAGTTTGTTATTTCTGACTGTTAATGCAGCTTAGCATATAAATTTWCAAAAGTAGAATAAGGCCCTCAAGAAGAAGCAGCCTCATCATGGTAGCAATATCCCTCAGATAGTGGTAAATAACAGAAATAAGAGAGAGAATTTTTCTTCTTCCTTMTATATAATGCATTAATAAGTTCTCTTCCTGTTTCTTCCAGGCACCAGTAACAGATGTGCAATTTGGCCCTATGAGACTTCATCGAGATCAACTTCAGGTAACACAAAGAGTTCCTTTGGAAATTCTCCCATATCTCCAGGCACACCTGACCCATYAATAATCCAAAATGTTCCTCTGTCWGTAATTGCAAAACTCCTCGTAGAAGCAATCTGGACCGAATAATTTGTAACTGTTTTAAGAGCAGCATGTGAGCATCCTCCTGAGCTGTTGTCAGAGCAGAAATGCCATCAGAAATCAGGTGTTAGGATATCCTCACCAGCTGCTCCCCAGCTATAAATCAGAATATTGAGTATTTCTGCCTCCTGTGTTGTTATTAATGGTTGTATCACTTTTGTGCAGTTGTGGAGCACTCTGGAACGCTCCTGGTTTATGCTGSTGGTGCAGCTGGCAGCTGTGAGGGGAGGAGAACATCAGCAATGTCACATTTGTGCCAGAATCAGTCTCACAACTCAGATCTGCTGACTCGCTGTGCAATTGCTGAAACCCATTCCTCCCCTCTTAAAGRGTGTTATAGATTAACTCCACTAAATACAGCCCAAACTGTGACATGTTTTTGCAAACAAGTTTTGCAGGTTGCTGTAAAAGGAACCTGAGCTGAACGTGTGCAAAGTCCTTTATTCCTACAAAAATACTCAGTGCAAGGAATTGTTAACTCTGCCATTAACTGGTGGACATTTCACCATCCTGCTCCAAAGTGTGACAGCTCTGSAGTCCCAGAATCACCCAGGAGATGAGCAGAGGGGGATGTGGTGTGAGTTACACTTTGCCTGACCAAAGCATTTATCTGTGTGTGCTTTGATAAACTCCTGAAGGATTTGTGCCCTGGGGCAATGGACCAAACGCTGCCTCAGTTCTCCCTCTTTCCCCAAAGGGTTCATGTGCTGAGCCATCCCCAAAATCAGCACMCACACATCTGGAGTCTGCCTTGCTGAGTTCTTTCAGAGAAGCTTTCTCCTGTAAAACATTATCCTGACTCAAAGCACGATCGCATCAGTGAGAGTTGTTCTGAGCTGACTTTATCTCCTGTTCTGGGTTAAATCCTGGAATCAGAAAATGCATTTGAAAGGAATTGGGCTTCATCATGCTTTCAGGCACAGGCATCATGCTGATTTTAAAGGGCTCAGAGGGATTAGGTACTGGCAGTTACAGGCCAGGTTGGGACGGGCAATAGTGGCTCTTAGGTCTGACCTGCAGCTCTTAGGTCTGACCTGCAGCTCTTAGGTCTGACCTGCAGCTCTGATTTGAGCTCTGATAATCTCCTGTGGGATTTAAATCCCACGGCAGCCTTTGTGTGGGAGTCACACACTCCACATGCAGAGGTTCTGCTTGTGATTTCAGTCTGACCTGGGTTCCTTTTCACAGCCTGTCTGAATTCCCAAAACCCCCCAGAGTGGGCAGCCTGCAGTGCTTTGGGGAATTGGGATGAGATGGAAAAGAAAGCTCATTTTCCATCATTTTTCATTTGCCATTGAAGCAGCATTAAAGGCTGATTCTCGCCAGTTGAACCATGGCTCTTTTTTAATTTATTTTTTTTAATTTTTCCTGGAATCTGATCCTGGTAAGAAAAATAAAACCCCAGAAGATGGTTGCATGTGGGACAGTTTCAGTGATGTAAAGGAGGCTCACAGTTGGTTCATGTTCACTGAAACACAGGATGTTCTCTCAGCTGCTTGCCCGAGCTCTCATTATAGAAATGACAAGAGAGTTCCAAAATCTGTTCTTCCCCGTGGGTATTCATGGCTCTGGCTGTTTGAAACACCTCTGTGTACAGATAACCATGAAAAAGCAGTGGTCTGTAGAAAGCAATTCTGTTAAAAACAGTGGGTTGAGCCTCCAAAGCAGCTTTAAAACCACGCTCAGAACAGAGCAAAGCTGCAGAATGTGCTCTGAGATTTGTTTGGTGACCCCATCTGTGTTGACCTCAGGTACTTTTGGTGTTTGCTGAGGAGGATGAGCAGAGCCAGGGCTTCCTSTGGGCGTGTGACAAGGCAGGGTTTCGGTGGAACATCACCAGGAGCCCCCAGGCTGCCCTCGAGTGCTTTCTGGAGAAACACCACGACATCATCATCATTGACCACAGACAKTCCAGGTTCTTTGATGCAGAGGCCTTGTGCAGGTGAGCCCCAGTTCAGTGGAATTAATGCTTAACAAGAAATCATCAAAGTCTTTTTGCTCTATGTGATGTTTTTATAAACTCTGTCCATCACTGTTTATTTTTTGGACAGATGTGCACTGGCAGCATCAAATCACGTTCCCTCAGTGCTTCACGTCTGACAGCAGCAGCATTTTTGGTTGTGCCAGGGCCTTGATCTGCCCTGGATTGACAGTGTACAGATTTGTACCCACAGTGAACTGTTGGGTGTWTTTTTGGTTTTCTTTTGTTGTTTGATTGGGTTTTATTTTTTTTCAAATACCCAATCCCTTGTTTTTGTAGTAAATCAACTGCAGAGATAGCATGTGCTGCCAAGCAATTTAATTCATTCATTCATTTTGTTAATGTTCTGTTATTTTTGCAATGCCACGTGCTGTTGAATGACTCCCAGTGCAGACAGTGTTTGGTGTGTGTGTTTCCATATTTATAACATTTGAAAATACGTTATGAAGGGCAAAATTACAAACAGATTTCAGAAATAATTTTAGAAGCTGCTGTAAAGTGTGGAAAAAGGAGAAAAGGATTTGCCTTTGTGAATGTCTGCTCAGAGATTTGAAGGCAGTGGTGGCTCTGCAGAGCCTTTGCAGTGCAGGAACCCCTGGGAATGGGATGGGATGGGATCCATGGGATGGGATCCATGGGATGGGATGGGATCCATGGGATGGGATGGGATCCATGGGATGGGATGGGATGGGATCCATGGGATGGGATGGGATCCATGGAATGGGATGGGATTGGGGTGGAATGGGATGGGATGGGATTGGGGTGGAATGGGATGGAATAGGGTGAAATTGGGGCGTGGGGAGGTCACAGCAGCCCTGGGGTCTCTGTGGGACAAAGGCTCCTCTTGCTCAATGAGGGAACAAAGGAGATCCCTCCAGGCCAAGGCCAGAGAGCAGAGCTGTTCCTTCCCCCTGCTCCATTCTCACCAATCCATCCCAAAATGCTGTAAAATGCACCTTAAATAAGAGAGGCCAAGCCCCCCTAACAAGTCCATTTTGTGATGTTTCCGAGAGGAGAATTTTGCTATTCCCTCACCGAGAGTACCTAAATTGCAGATGAATCATTGGAGTATCAAATGTAATTTATTCTCCTTTCTTAGCAGCAGGCTCAGGATTTGACTTTTSTTTTGTTGTTGAATGATTTAAAAGAGATATTTTAAGAAAAGTGCTGTGTGAAAATTCTGTAAAGTTTTGTTTTCTGAAACGTAAACTCAGAAAATAATTGATGGTTTGTTTTTTATTTAAAGGTCTATCAGAACAACGAAAGCCTCAGAAAATACAGTCATTATTTGTGTAGTACAAAGGTAAATAYTCATATCTTTACTTTCACATGTGATCAAAACTGTAAATCTTACCATTGTGAAAGTAAACATTGCATTAAAAAACCTGAATTAGAACTTCTTACTGTGCTAATAATAATAATAATAATGTGCTGTACCAGAGTTTTTACTATCCTTGTCCATAGGATTGGGACAGAAATTGTTTTTTAAATGTCTGTTTTTCACTAAGGAATCTCATTTGGGTTTAGTTTGGGGTTCCTCCCCCACTCCCCCATCACTCCAGGCTTTCTGAGCGWGTTTCAAACAATTTCTGCACCATCCTGTGCAAAACCATCTCACACACCTGGGTTTGGAACATTTCTTGATCTGCCTTTCAGTGTGATTAATCACAGCAAAAACCAGAGATCTGCTGAGTGTGAAAAATGATATAGAACAGTTTGATCAGTACAAAGGATCATCTGACCACGAAAGTTTTAAAAGCAAAAGAGGTGATGACATCTCAGTAAAATACATGTGCTATTTCCCTCATTCTCCTTTACTTCTGAAATAATGTAAAAATACCAAAATAGTATATTTAATGAAATTGAATAACTGGAAGATAATTTCCTCAAAGTGTTAGGGTTTTTTGATGCACAAGGGAAAATAACATTTTGGCTCATCCATACCAGRAGCTGAAAGCTTATCCAAAACACAAAAATATGTTTTGTTCCTGGATCCTGTAAGGCTCTAGCAGTATCAGCCTTGGTGTGACATCTGGAACACAAATAGATCAATGGATTGTGAAATKTGGTCTGGATTGATTACAAAGATAAATCTGATTACAAAAATAAACTTTCCCCTCCTTGTTTAAAGGCACTGTGATCGTGAGGAGTCATCAATATTGCCCCTGATCTCKGCAGGATTCACCAGGGTGAGTCAAAAAAAAAATCTCACATTGGTCATGTCACAGCATGTTCATTTTTGGAATATCAACTTCTTTTTTGGTTCTTTAGCAAGCAGAAAAAAACAGAGCTTCAAATCCTTGAGTATAGGAATGTGTATTAATGAAATGTGTCTCACCTTTTATTCGCAGAGATATGTAGAAAATTCCAGTAGAATGGCCTGTTACAATGAGCTGATCCAGCTGGAATTTGGACAGGTGCAGGCACAATTCAAACTAAGGTAATTCACCCAAAGCATTATCAAAAAACAGTCCCAATTCAGCCACATCCTTATAGAGTATTTATTTTAATGTGCATAGTTAATTATAGAATGTCAGTTGAAGAAAATACATTAATTGTGAAAATAAAACTTTTTTCAATTTGGACTTGTAATACTTTATTATCAAATATAAGAAGAATTAAGTGGATAAAATTTTATTGGATGTATTTTTCTTTTTTTTCTCCAGGGCATGTAATTCATTATTCACAGCATTAGAGAAAAGTCAAGAAGCCATTGAGATCACAAGTGAAGACCAYGTAATACAGGTTTGTTCCACTCATAAGTGCACAAAATTGCTCTGTATTTTATTTTATTATTACACTTACTGTTTCTTACAGCACAAGAATCTAACCTAACTAAATGCTTCTAAAAGATTGAAGTGAGTTTAGCTGTAGAGTAGAATTTTCTCCATTTAAAGTATCTTGCATAAATCAAATAAATTTTAAGGGAGATTGTTGTTTCTGAATGAATAAGAATTTATTCTTTTGTTTTTATTTTTTATTGATTCTTTATCTCTACTATTCATTCTTTCTCTATATCAAGAACGAATGCAGCCACTGACTTATGTGCATTCTTTTCCAAAAATGTTGTATGTTAATTTGATGCTCTTTAAAATCCAGTGGATATTCTATTTAAATAATTGTACTTGGTTTGGTAACTGATAGAGCCCATTTTTCAGGARTTTATGTTGTTGTCTAAACTCTGTGGATATTCAGCTGTTTGCATCATTTCCCTCTCTTTGCTGRCAGCACACACTCTGCACAACTGTTCTAACATGGAAATTCCTGGTTTGCTTTACCAAGATAAAAATGAGAGCATCTCTCTGAGGAACAGCTCATGCAGACATTTATTTCAGGCTGGGAAGATCTCCTGCCTAAGCAAACAAAACAAGGGATTCTGTTGTAATTTAAGTTTGTTGTTGAATGGGTGTTTGTTTGTTTTTATTTCACAGTACGTCAATCCTGCATTTGAAACAATGATGGGCTATCAAATAGGTGAACTGATAGAAAAGGAATTAACAGAAGTGCCTCTAAATGAAAAAAAAGCTGATTTCCTAGATACCATTAATTCCTGCATCAAGATAGGAAAGGTGAGTAATGGCATTGAATCACTTTTATTTGCTGCCTGTAAAGGTTATTATCACAATTTGTGATTTGCAGCTTCACAGACACGCAGCATTTGCAACTTACTTAAAACAAGAGCAGAATGTAAAAAAAAAAAAGTTCTTTTTTTAAGGGCTTCTTTCTCTTTTCTTGATTGGAAGGGTTACTTGTTTTACAGAAATAAGTGACTGGCTGTGTTTCTTTATAATTTATGCTGTTGGTAGCAAATGGTGTGGGAGTMGTGAAGAAAAATGAGATGGATGCACATGTGATATCTGGTGCTATGGAAATGGGAAAAGTACCATATTGAAGGATTTCAGTATGAAATGTGGAAGCTGATTTGCAAGTTCAGAATGTAAAAATACCAAGGAGACATTTGCAGCATCACTTGGA